CTCAGTACCGAGCATGTACCGAGCATATACCGCTCAGTACCGAGCGTGTACTGAGCATGTACTCCTCGGTACCGAGCATGTACTGAGCAGTACCGAGCATGTACAATCTGATGAAGCGAGACATGAAGCAAATAACGGGAAGAAAGATCGTTACCTAGCCGTGAAAAAAGAACCGAGGATTACAGGAAGCTGGAGAAGAAGAAGCGAGACATGAAGCAAATGACTGGAAGATTACGGGAAGAAAGAGAAGAAGAAATAAATCGTTACCTTCGATCGCCTCCAGTTATGTTCGAACTCGACCGAACTGTGGTCGTCGAAGTCGACGGAGTTCGCCTTTCAGTTCTCACCCGAAGTAGAAGCAAGTATGTTACCCTAATACTCGACTCTTATACGACTCTCACCGCTCGGTCTATATACTTACAAATCGAAGCGGTGCCTCGTTTCGCTTCGAGGCGTTACGAACCGAAGCCTACGCCCTGTGCGAAATAAGCGCACGCTCCGCCGAATCCAACGAGGTGTAAGCCTCAACGCGCAAATGTTTCGCCTCGCCTTGAGTCGCGTCTCAGTGCGTACGCCTCTTCCGCCTTTTTAATCGTTGCTTTTTGCTAATGATATTATTTTTGTAGATAAGACTAGAGGAGTTGAAGGTAAACTTGAATTATGGAGGTCAACCTTAGAGTCTAAAGGTTTTCGCTTGAGTTGATCTAAAGCTAAATATATGGAGTGCAATTTTAGTAGTAATAGAACTAGTTGAGGGATTGTGACTTTGGGTTATCAAGTCATTAATAAAAGTACACATTTTAGATATCTTAGATCTATTGTTCAGAGTGATGGTGGAATTGATGGGGATATTATCAATAGAATTCTAGTTGAATGGTTGAAGTGGAGGAATGCATCAGGCTTGTTGTGTGATAGAAAAGTCACCCTCAAACTTAAGGGAAAATTCTATAAGATGGTGGTGAGACCTGCAATGCTTTATGGTGTTGAATGTTGGCCTTTAAAAGAAAGGCATAATACTAAGTTAAGTGTTGCAGAATGAGGATGCTCAGGTGGATGAGTGGATTTACCCTTAGAGACAAGATACGAAATGGGCACATACGTGAAAAGGTTGGAGTAGCTCCATTGGAAGATAAATTAGAGAGTCGCCTTAGATGGTTTGGTCACATAAAACGACGACCTTCCGATGACCTAGTTAGAAAAGTAGATGTATTAGATTTGACTTATATTAAGAAAGGTAGATGTAGATCTAAAAGAACTTGGTTAGAAAATATTAGAAATGATTTTTCTTTATTAGATTTAAATAAGAATTGACTTTTAACATGACACAATAGAGAAAAATGATACATGTAGCCGACCCCACGTAGTAGGTCAAAGGCTTGATTTTGTTGTTTTGTTGTTTGTTCTTAACATCCATTCTACTTAATATATACCTTCGAAAAAAATGGAGATTATGATAAGAACAAAATCTAAATAAACCGAAATACACCATACTAGTATTGGAGATTAATATTGCAATTCCAATACTAAAATATTGATATAAAACCCTGCAGCTAGCCAATGAACATAAACATTGTAACCTTGTTTTTTTAAAAAAAAGCAACAAAACCCTAAAATTTTCATTGTAAAACATTGTTTTTCATTAGGAAGGTAATAAAAATCCTAAGATCGCCAGTGTAATGAAGTGTTCTCCATCAAGAGGATGGGGTGATGAAGAAAGGAGTAAGAAAATAAGTAATTTAAATGGAAAGGAAGATGCAGGAGAGAAAAGTGGGCATTGACTTGAGTGCCTAAGGCCTTCACAAAATGAAAGCAAAACGAACACAGAGAAAGTTCACTACCATGGATCGGGTAGCAATTAAGATTTTCAGCCTTTCAATGGAGAATAAACGACATTTATGGACAAAGGATGCACAAGTTAGAGGTTTTTCAGTCATATGGGTAATGAGAAGAAGAAGATGAATAGGAGGGATAATACATAAATTTAAAGAAAAAGACAAAAGTTCAAGTTTATTAACATTTATTTCTAGAAAAAAGTGATGCTCCAGGTGGCTGCCAGTAAAACATTAAGAATAAATTATTTCAACAACAACAAACCTTTATCCCACTATGTGGGATACATGAATCATTTTTCTCCGTTGTGTCATATTAAGAGTCAAATTCTCATCTAAATCTAATAAAGAAAGGTCATTTCTAATATCTTCTAATCAAATTTTTTTAGGTCTACCTCTACCTTTTTTAACATAAGTCCAATCTAATGCATATACTTTCATAACCGAGTCATCAGAAGACCGCCGCTTCATTCAAGTAAGATTAAAAACAAAAATAAAATACTAATGAAAATAATGATGATACAAGACTCCTCTTGATAAATATATATACGTGTTAACGGGCGAAATCTCTGGGTAGTGTCTTATCTACAAACCCATCTGCCTTCCAAAATTTACCTCGGAACTTAGTTTGTTAAAACTCCCTCGCCGAATAAGAAAAGCGAGTGGAGGCCGAGGCCGAATTTTCGGATCCCACAATACGTAACTGTCGTTTGTGTCTACATATGCACTATGTTGCATCTTACAGTTATCTGAAGTAAAATATTGAGGTTCAGTAGCTTTTTATAAACTTTGTATGATGTTTTTAACTTTTTATTAGTTACGTACATTGCTATAAACAGTTACTTGAAATATACACATTGCAAGGTATATTTCTGAAATGTTCATATATGATCGTTCTACCATTAAACATGAAAATCTTAGCAATGGTAGATTGAGCATGCATGAACAATTAACCCCCTTCTATTGTGGTCATTCGTTTCTGCGTTGATGCTTTGAGCTTTTGAGCCAAATCATGACACTAAAATAATTACATGTCATAACTAACTATTTGGCTTGGGCTTTATAATTTTTTCATATTTTGCCTACCTAATTCTTCTCCAGCAACCTCCAACAAGCTAGACAAGGTTTGCATTTTCATTCCTAGCATTTCAATTAGCACCATGTTCTTGTCGCTATAAAAATTCTCTACTGCTAATCACCGAAAATTAAAATGTCACTTATGGTTCAAAAGCTGCTATATCTATTGGAATAATACAGCATGCTCAAGAAAAATTATCAAATTAATTACAGTAGAGCAAGAACCTAATCACTAATAAGGAAATTACATCTATTAACCTTCATTAACGGTACCTCTCCATTTTTTGAAAGCTATTTAGGAACAGTATTTCAAGCATACAAGTCAACTTAATCAAAAAAAGAACTAGTATGAATCACCTTTCAGGTAAAGAAATTCCTTGCTTCTCTAGCTCTGCAAAAAGCTGTCGTAGCCAATTGTCAGGAACAATATCCTTAATGGATTCCTCAGATTTCCTGAAAACCAAACACAATCATCATCATAATAGATCAATCCCAACTAATTAGGTTGTTGTTAAAAGATAATATAATCAATAAACATAAATAGCAAATCATATCATGATGCAGGAGGCCCTTGCACTGTAGGCTAGCCCTAGGGTTAGCATCCACTGAAGGCTAGCCCTAGGGTTGGCTTCGACCAGCTCAAGTTCAAGCCCAAATCAGGCCGAACAAATTGTCAGGTTTTGGAAGCCTTGGATGCAAATTTGCAAAACTCAAATTTCTGAAGAGGGGAGCCGCCAAATGCAAGAGAAACCTTTCAAAAAAAATTCAAATTCAAAAGAATGATTCCAATGAATCAACTGAATGCATGAAGGCTCGAATGAGTCAACCCCCAAGTGTTAAATTCAATGCAAGCATGAAGAATTTCGGTCCCACTTCATTTGAAAGAATTTTGAATTCAAAAGTCATGGCTTATCATGAATTTAAGGTAGGAAATATCTAATTTTTTTCTGGATTATCATTAATGTAAATAAGCTATCATGAGAAAGAGTAAGTTTAATTAGATAACTTATCATAATCTTAGATTCAATGTAGTTTGTAATTAATAAAGCTTTTGATTTCATTCAATTTCATACAATTCCATTCAAATATTTTGATTTTGGTCATTATGCGTATTCTCTCTCACACAACATATCATCTTTCCCCCTATTTTCAACGAGACTCACAACCGATGGCTACCTAATTCCTCTCAAACCAATTCTCACTTCCACGTCGTAGACATGAATACCAAGGTGTGATGGACATCCACATTTAGTTTTCAGCTAGGCTCCCTAGAAGAAAACTATCCCTCCCTCTCTATCTCTTTATCTCTCTTAATTTTACCTTATTGCTCTAGGTTTCTCTCATTTGGTCAGGAGGACAATTAGAGTTTCGACGGAAACTTTATTTAGGATTTACTTATGGACGATAATTTACTTTTCTTGTCCGTCTGATCTCTTTTAAATCATCTAGCATAAATTTTACATGCTTCATCCATATTCCATAAGGAAACCCTAGTCTCTTGAATTTTGCATGGTTCTCATGCATGCATGCAGAAGAAACATTCAAATGGGAGGAATCATTAAAATGTTAAATATCAAGAAACCTTAGAAAAAAATTCTTTGAATTCTTACTTGGAAACCCTAAGTAGCATACAAATCCTATCGATTTCATTATCTTACGCATCATCACTCCCGAATCATTTTAACATCACAATCCAATATGTGGTATAGAGTAAAGTTTGGTCTCCAAATCACATTGAATACCACAAATAACTAGAGCTTATTTTCCCATTTCAACAAGCCAAAATAATGCACTATTGCAGGTGTTTTTCACCCATAAAAAGACCATCTATTGCTGTCACATAATCTTGTCATAAAAAAAAAAATTTATTTTGCAAGGAAAGTTGTTTCTTACAGTTTCCATGCAGGCTAAAAAAATAATCTTGTCAGAATGTTCTTAAACAATCTTAACAAAGGCTTGAAAAAGCTTGCATTTCCATAGGTTTTCATTGAAGAAATCTTTATGATCAAAGCAAAAGCCTTGAAGTTCTACTTCACGTTATAGGCAACACTAGCATTTATTTCCTCCTCTCTCTCTCTAACAACCCTTAAAGCCAATCTATTATGTGCAAAGGGAAACTCGTTATAAAATGTATAGTTCAAGTTTATACCATCTTGGAAGTAAGTAATACATCATGGTTAATTTTCTATATTGGTGATAAAAGAGTATAATCCGCATGCCAACCCGAGATGTAAACTCCCCATCCTCGCCCCACAAACACAAGCAAAAACATCTTATTTACCTTTTCTTATGATAAATCCATGCAAAATAATAAATCACAATCAAATGAATTGTTATGAATTCTTCAAACAGGAACTAGTCAGTAAACTGAAAATTCTACTAAAAGACTGCATTCACGTACAAGCTATCAGAAGTTGGAGATCTGCAAAGTGATTCAGGCAATGACTGTGACTCATCAACCCTATCGCCTGTTACCCTACAATTTTCTGAATCATTCGAGAAAGCTGTTGCAATTGAAAGAAGCAGCAGCGGTCTTGAAATGCTCTGCCAATTGAGTGCTATCAATAATCAAAAGAACAAAAATTACCAGAAAAGAAGCTGAAAATACATTTAACGGTAATCAATTAGCATTTTCAAAGGTCAAATATGACATTTGAAACAAAATAGTAGAAGCAGCCCACACACTTGCATGAAGGAAAATACAAGTACCCTAAACCCCTCATCATATGATACCCTAAATTTAAATATATATATATAATTTCTTCGAAAATTATCCCTCACTTTTCACACATCCCAAAATTCAATAAAGCCATTTTTATTTCATTCTTCACTTTATTTCAATCATGTTGATACATAAGAGCATATAAAAATAATCAACACAAATCAATTTATACATACAATTACATTTTCTTAAATTTATACTTTCAATTTTACGATGCATTACTTAAGGCGGTGAACTTGTACGTTACTTGAGGCAGTGAACTTGTACATTACTTGAGGCGGACTTATTAGTAAAATTAATTAAATTTTATATTTAAATACATAAAACACTTAAGCCTTCTGATGAGGACATCAGCTAGAGATTTCGACATGTGTACCATTGACAGAATCATAAATCGACGGCTATGATTCAGAGCCTTTATTTTTGATATATTTTATGTTTTGTTTATTTTGCATTTCAGTTTTACTAGTTTACCCCTGTGGGTAGTAAGTTCTTATTGTAGCCCCGAGGGCATTTGAGTCTTTCTTCTTTTCTTTATTATTGAGGCCTATATATATAGAGGTCTTTTGCTTTGTATGAGCTTAATGATGATTAATAAAATTTCAAATTTCTCTCCTACTTTCTTGTGAGTTTTGAGAGAGAGGTGAAGCCTAGGAGAGGCCAACGAAGTACCCAACAGCCCCTTTGGTGCGATCTTGGTTTTTTTCCCTTGTTTTATCTTCTTCCTCCTCCTTCCCCTCCCATACCCGCCGGCTGCACCTTCCCCATCCTCCCAAACCAACAGCATCCTCACCCCTCCCCTTCCCCTCCACCGACGGCTTCCCACGCCCAATCTCAACCCGCCAGAATCCCCTTTTCCTCCTCTCCCATCGGCCTTCCATGGATCCCTAGCAGCCAAACCACCTTCTAAAACCCTCCATGAATTTTGAATTTCAAAATTCAAACTCTCCTTATTTACTTTCCTAAAATATCTCAAGGCAATTAGGAAAGAGTCTTTATTTGAATTCAATTAACTTTTGAATTCAAATACTTTCCTTAGTTACAAATTCTAATTTAGGAAAGTTACTAAATCTAAGTCTAATTTAAATTTAAATTAGATTTGAATTAATGTCCAACTTCCTAAATTAACTATCTTGATTTGGAAGCTTTTAATTGCTCTCCAAAACCCCCTCCCTCTCTCCACATGCCGCCGGCCCTCCCTTACCCATGCCACCTCTCTCTCTTATTAAATCCCTCTTTTCTCTCTCTAATTTGCTCATCAACTCCTAATTAAATATCCTCCCTTAGCCCCTTACCCTCCCCACCTCTTCCTAGTCCAAGTTTGGGAATAATATTGAAACTCAAAATTAATCCTTCCCTCCCTAGAAAATTTGGAACTAAATTTCATATTTTCCTTGAGCTATTCCTCTCCACCTCTCTCACCATTTCCAAAGAACAAACCCCCCCCCCTCCTTCCGAACACTAGCCGAAATCCTCATCTTCTCCACACTCCCTCCACTTCTCTCTTCCTCTAAACCTTACACATACAAGGATTATCTTCAAGCCGATGTCGCCTCCATGAATGGCCAATCTTGAAGTCGACCACGGATTTGCATACAACTCCCAAGGGCAAATCGACATCCTTCAGTCACCCTTCTTTGATCCAGACTGGGAATTCGAAGATTCAATGGAAAGCTACGCAGATCGCATACTCTATCATCTCGTCGAGATGATTGACGGGCAACGACCAACTGGACAGTGGCAAATCATCGGACGACCTTCAACTTCCCCTCCTCTGGCTACTTCTCCGACGAACAATACGTTACGCGTCACTTGGCTTGTGGTAGCATCACTAGGGTTACTTCTAACCTTTCTCCGCTAAACACCACTTTCAAGAGCGAGAGTGAGGGAACTCAGGGGTGAACATTTATAATTGTTAAGCCGTGGATTTTTGTTTTACTTTGTCATTAGTTTTACTTATTTACTTTGTTGTTATTTGCAAATATCCTTTTAATCTCGTTTGTAATCATATGCTATTACATGACTTCTAATTGAAAATTCAAGAATCTAACTTCGTGAAACATAAGTTTTATAATTGGCAAAGCTTTGTTCACATTATTATTAATTTCGCAAAGCAATTATTGTTTCCATATATATTTCACATCACTTTTATTAAATCCCATATATAAACTTCTTTCTCCCTTACGTGAGCAGAAGAAGGCGGAAGCAACATGCTGCGACTAGAGGGCTGCTGGAGCTACTTTAGCAGCCTCGGCTATTGTAGCAGACAACATCATTTGGATGGGCAGGAGCTGCATCAGCTGAAAAAAAAAAAGAAGAAAAAAAGGGGAAAAAAAGGAAAGGAAAAGAAGAAGACAAGAAAGGAAAGGAAGCAGATTAGGAGAGGCTAGATAAGGAAGTTTCAATCGTGTTCAACTCGTGTTCTACGATAAGAGACTTGAATGGGAGAAATATTTTGAGGTAACAAATTATTAAGATTATTTTGTGTTTAATTAAAAATGTGATATTCAGAAAACATTTTAAATCAATGAAATCATCATTGTAAGATAGTTTATGCAAGGTCGAGACTTCTGAGGAGCGAAGATATGGAAGCGTGTCGAAGAGAGAACCCAATTGTTTTGGAAACATACTCAATCTCTGGTATAGGAAGCAAGAAATTCGTGATCTAATTTATATAAAATTTCTTCATCTTGAACACATAAAAAAAATAGTAATAATAAAAACTGCATGCTTATAATTATCTGTTCATAAAAGATTTATCTTATGTCTGATGTCTCAGATTTTATGACAATTATTTCATGCCACTTTATATTCTTGATATTTGTTTTGATAGTCTGACTGTTATAAGTAATACATTCTTACTAAATGAGTCAATGTAGATAAAAAAAATACCATTGATAATACAAGTTCATGAAGTCATGTTATAAGAGATAGGCCATCAAATAATAACTAGCGGAGGGAGATGAAAGATCTAATAAGGTAAGCCTTAGTAAAAACCATGTAGAAGGTACCCGAATCTCTTTTTTAAAATGTTGGTATTTTGAGATACAATATTGAAGGGAGGAAAAATTAGTAAATGGTTAACTGATGGGCTAGGCAATGATGTATTATGAATGTGCAAAAACTTATAGTTATCATATAATTTTTCTAAAATAGAGTCCATGAATAAAATAAAAATTATATGAGAGAAAACCTAAAAAATTTCATGTAGTAATTGTGCCCTATTATACATTGATTGCTTACTAAAATGAGAAACAGGTTATTCATTCTTCAGAGTTACATATGTATACTACTTATGAACTTTTATTTAAAGCTTCTCTATTTTAAAAGTTCAGGAAGTCATGTTTTGAGAGATAGGCCAACAAATAATAACTAGCGGAGAGAAAGATGAAAGAACTAATAAGGTAAGCCTCAATAAAAACCATGTAGAAGGTATCCGACTCTCTTTTCTAAAATGTTGGTATTTTGAGATACAATTTTGAGGGGAGGCAAAATTAGTAAATGGTTAACTGATGGGCTAGGTAACGATGTATTATGAATGTGCAAAACCTTATTGTCATCATATATTTTTTCTAAAATAGTGTCCATAAATAAAATAAAATTCATATGAGAGAAAACCTAAAAAATTTCATGCAGTAATTGTACCCTATTATACATTGATTGTTTACGAAAATGAGAAACAAGCTATTCATCCTTCAGAGTTACATATGTATACTACTTATGAAGTTTTATTTTAAAGCTTCTCTATTTTAAAACTAAGACATAATATAGTTCTTCTTATGACTTGCACTAGTTCAAAAAAACTAGCATGCATGTTGATTGTTTATTATTCTTGTATGTTAAATCATGTACTAGAACTATTTATCCCACTAAATGTTTAGCTCACTAGTTAATATATTGCAAGAATAGAAAAGAAATCAACAGGGCTTTAGGCTAATCATCGGCAACACCTTATACAGTCCTTATAGTTGTATAGTCGTGGGTGTAGATAGAAGGTTGATCAGTAAGGTGTAAATTAAAGATTTTAAGTATGTGTAATTTTATTTGAAACTTCTAGTAAAGCTCTGTACTTTGTTGATGAATATTGTGCATACTTTGAATATTTAATTATGAGGTATAATCCAATAGTTACAGTATAGTACATGAATTGTAATAGTTTGGACAGATTAATTTCTCGCTAATACTCATCCTAAACTAAATTCATCAAGATTGAGTAGAAAATGTATCTGACAATATTATCCATTTCTGTTACACCTCAGGTTGACAAAATGAGGTGTGGCACCTCAACCCACCTATACTCTAAGTTTAAAGTAAATTTCAGAATACATCTTTTTTAATTTTGAAATTTAGACAATTTTGTCGTACCTAAGGTCTTCCCATTTGAACAGTATGCCCTCCCTCCCTCCCCCCCTCCCTCCCTTGAAGATATCTTCTTACATAGAGGAAAAGGCAAAAGAATACAATAGAAAAAGTGAAAGGAAAGTGTCCAGGATATTTGGCTAAGGAAAAAAACAAAATAAATCTGCTGCAATCTCTTTGCCATAATTTCAAGATACGACAGCAAAAAAGACCAAATCATCTGAACAAAATCTTAAGGCAATATAACTTTTAAGCAATTAAATAAATTGTGAAAAGATGATAAAGATAAAAGGAGCGATTTCCAAGAAGTGCAACTATACTGATTAAACTTAAAATTTTCTACTCCAAAATTCTTCACAAAATAAAGATGAAAACCATAACATCTCGAAGCAGACAAAACTTTAAAGAAGGAATACCATTCCTGTAGGCCTTCACACAAAAGATTACTGCACTGTGCATGTCAAAATTAATAAAGCCAAGAGCGTTTCACATATACAAACATGTTCTTGTGCATAACTAAATTATATTAACCATTTTAAAACAATATGCAACACAAGACATACATTGCGTAATACTTTTTCCACAGCTCATATGATTTAACCTACCTGTGTGCCTCTAACTATTAGCCTAAGCGGACCCCACCTCTGTAGCCATTTAAGTGGTGGATAACCAAGAACTTGAAATGCTTGAACAAACCGCCATAAAATTGGACATTTTGCTTTAGAGAACCTCCTTACTGTCTCTAGAACTGCAAGTTTTATTACAAAAGACAATATTTTTCCAGAGTGATTTGGATTCAATCGAAGAGACTTCAAAGGTACCATGTGTTTCAAAGTCATCTGAGGATTAGCTTCTTGGAAAGAAGCAACTAGACTACCTTTGTGCATCTTCTCACCAGTAGGGCTTCTAGGTGAATGATTTTTTTTGCTATAAGTAGACATAGGCTACCAAACCAGAAAAAGGCAAGAAAAGTGAAAATTGCAATCCAAGTTTAATGCAATCCAAAGCGCAAATTTATGAACACCAACAACCAAATCCATCTGTTATACATCAAGAAACAACCGAGGTTGTTCTAAACCATAATTTGAAACTGCTGCCCAAGTCATAATTCTGATTTTCAATTTGACACCTCTTCAGATGAATACAACCTGACCAGAAGAAAAAAAAAAAGAATCAGCAAAACAAATAGAATACTACAGTGGCTTTCATTATACCTCTCTGAAGACAAGTCAGATGAGAAACTATTGATGTGTACTCGCAACAAGTAAGCTTTACGAAAAGTTTTAATAATAATCCATATGTGGAAGTCTACTAGCATAAATTACAAAACACTCAAAGCAATAAAATCTAAAAATAATACCCTTAGCCCAACCATTTCGCATCAGCTTTATGAAACTTTCTTCTCTTCCTTCCTCAGGACTGCTGAATATGGTGTTCACTCCCTTTCACACATTTATTTTCCACAAATGAAATCTTATATATCGAACTAATGAAATAATTGAGAAACTGCATGTAAAAGCTAACCTATTAAGTAATATTCTGTATCAAAGCAATTAAATTAGTGATACTCTGTTATCTAAATTTATGAATTATCTTAGAATTTGCCAGGAAACATCATAAAAAACCACTCTGCCATAATTTAACATTGCCATAAGTTGTCTTTGGTTGATATATATAATGTAAATTATTTAAATCTATGCACATAAAAGCTAAAGACCAATATTTTAATCATCATTTCAATCTGCCCTGTTGTTTAAAGTAGAAAGCTTCCAAGTAAACTTAAGACCTTTAAAAAAAACTGTATACTATTAAAAATGTACTTGACATTCCAAAAAGAGATCATCATTATTCATTTATTTAGATATTATAAAATCTTATTCATCAATCTAACATTTAATAAATAAATGGCTTAAGTATCTAAAAAATATAAGCAATTTTAACTACATTCGTTTTCTATATTTAAAATTCCATTGATATTTTGAAATTAATAATTTAACAATTTGAAAATAAAGGAATATATTTTACTTTTTAAGATATAATAAATTTCAATGATTTAGAATTCTTTTCTTCTTGTTTTACAATTTTTATATTTTAGAGAAATATTTTAATTTTTATATTATTCACAAAAATAAAAGCTCAATTTGTTACCTTAAATTCTAATTCACAATAATAATAAAAATAATAATAAGAAAAAGAAGAAGAAGAAGAAGAAGAATAAACAAAAATGCATGGAATCCTCTAGGTTTATTAGTTTGTCCATCTTGTAATACTATTCTAACAACAAATAACCAGCAATAATATAGATGTTATTTTTATGGTTCAATATCTTGATTTAATTATCATTTCTAATATAATCAATCATTTGTTTCCAAACAGTTCTTCGATATTGAATTAATATCGACTAAATAAACATTTTTCATTCAATATCAATTAAATTGATGCGTTTCAGAATTAATAAATATAACATAACACAACATTCAAAATAATTAAAAATAAATAAACTTAAAAGAAACTATTAATCACGTACATATTTACTGGTATCTATTTAGCGTTTAGGGTTCTCATAATTTTCCCTAAAAACCAACAAATTTCGATAATTCAAGCACTTCTTAAAGTGGAGCAAACATGATATATATGAATCCTAGTGATATTGGAGGTCTTAGGGCCTAAGATTCTAAGGCGACAAAATGATGTGATGTATGAAAACACAATTCATATTAAAAATGCACAGTTCAAAAAGCCATCTGCCAATTAAATAATTACATTCGCATAAGAAGATGAGTTCTCTTGAAAATTGGCACTCGCACTTACATTGCCGTCAAGTGAGTCAACATCCAACCATGCACATGAACAAGATTGAAAAAGAATATGAAATTTTTATTAACCAAAAAGTTTCTCTAAGCATATATCCAATAATGCTATTTATAATCATCAAAATCCGTAGAATGGCTGCCTCATCTTTAGTTCAATTCAAATCCGAAACTCATATCATGTTGCAATTCACATAAAGGATAAATCCAAGGAAACCAAAACAAAAATACCACCCAACAACAACAATAACATCAAGCCTTTATCCCCCTACATGAAAAAATGCCACCCGAATAACATAAAATCAACAAAATCATATTTGTCAGCTACAAGAATCCGCAGGCTATAGCACAGCCAAGCAGCCACAAGAACCAAAGCATAAGAACTATGAAATTCAGGCATGTAACAGTCATCAACAGCAGGAATTGAAAAACTTGTATAGGATAACTCCAAACCCAAAACTCCAAAGCCAATTAATCCATATGACTCTTCTAAAGCTAAAAAAAAATTAAAAAATTAAAAAAAAAACAAAATAAAACAAAAATAATAATAATAATAATAATAATAAATAATAAAAAATATGACTCTTCAAAAGCTTTTCTTTCCAACTGATCCAAGTTTATGTCCTTCAACTACTTCTCCAGGTCTCCTTTGATTATCCCTTTGATATCTTCAAATTGTTACTAAGAATCAAATTAGCATAGTTGAGACGGTTGAAGACTGTGGAAAGTGGGATGGAGATTGGATGGTGGCCCGTATGGGTTTTTGGGCAGCATAATATTTACTGAAGAACGACTTGAACAATGAGTTCACTCGTTTATTATTTCTCAAAAAAAAAAAAGGCTAATGAGGCTAAATATTTGCCTCTTTTTTACTCTGCAGACTAGCAATTATTCTACAGGTAAGTCTGGACATTATCATAAGGAAACTGAATTTATTTGAAGCTAGGTTTAAAGAACGAAGAGCTTCAAAGGGGTCACAAATCAAATAATATTTAGCTCATTGGTGTTGGTTTATTCTTTGGATGTTTGACCCTAGGAAGCTCATACGTAATATTGAGCATGATAGAAACTGCTTGCAGATATTTAGGAAAAGCCTCTAAAATCTAATTTCAGCAATTTCAGAAAACAAACAACTAGAAAACAAGAAATAGAACACACAAGAACACTTTTTATTGAAAGTTTTATGAAAGAAAAAATAAGATACAAGTGGATCTTCAATTGGAGAGGAAGATCAGGCTCTCCTAAATCTCTAGCTGCCGGCTAGAGCCCAAACACCTAAGAACAATCTAAATTCAACAAATAACACATAAATTATCCTAACCCTAGGGTAAATCAACTATTTAAATCAAACAATAAATAGTAAAATACCAAAACAGCCCTCTCTCTAATTCCCACCCAAATCAGCCCCAAATCTGCCATATTTCCTTAGTTATTTCCCTCCCAAATCAGCCCCCAAAGCACCCCTCTTCAATTAGGAAACATTTTCTAATCAACCCCATCCAAAACAGCCCCAAATCAGCCCCCAAATATACCATCTTCAATTAGGAAATATCTCCTAATTAATTCCATATAAATCAGCCCCCAAATTAGCTTCTTTCACTTAATAAAATCTTCCTAATTTCCTCCCAAATCTAATTCAAGCCATATTTACCTAAATAAACTTTCTTAATTATTTCTTCCATGATTTCTCCTCCCTACATAGTGAAATATTAACTCCCCTGAGCCCCATAAAGTGGGCCCCCTGGCATATCAATACTTTCCATCCAAAAAACACCTTGTCCTCAAGGTGGAAGATGGGAACGGTCTCCTGATCATCTCATATGGCTCTCATGTGGCTTCGTGCTCTAGCAAATCCTTCTACTTGATAAGTACCTCCTGAACAAGAAACCCAAGATGGTGAGAATGAATTGGTAGCTCAATAAGATCATTCCTTGAGATGATTATTTTTTATCCTCTTCAATTTATTTGTTGAAAGTTCTGAATTGCTCCTTTTACTTGCCATCAATCATTCGCATCTTCAACTTTCTCACCCTAGAATCACTACTGCCCCAATAATTTCCTCCTCCAATATAGCGATTGTCATAATCCTTCTATGTTTCCCCCGTGTATCGAGGGTGGGAATCCCACATTTCTTCCCTCCGCCTCACATGAACTGATCCCCATGGTTCGGCCCGCCCCCTCCTCCAATTGCACACTCCCCTTG